ATGAGTAAGTGTTGTTATGTGAAGTGATTGGCAGTGAATGTATGCAGCAATTGATATGGCCATGTGAAGGAATTACATGGACTGTTAAAAACAAACACATTTAAAAATTAATACATAAAACAAAGACACTTGACTGAACAGCGCGGGATCGTCTTACATTACATTAAATAAAGGGGTCACGTACTGACACTTATTCATCCTTCTGCTACTTCATCATGCCAGATAGATGTGTTGTGCCTGGGTGCAAGATTAATTAAGAAAGCTCAATTAAAACTGAATGATACATACAGTGTTTAAGATTCCAAGTGATCCGCTGCGTATGTGGATTTGTGCTATTCCGTGGTCAGATTGGACAAGCTGCTCTTAAGTGAACAAGATAACTTTATTATTATTTTTTTAATTTTTATTTTTAGCTTATTTTTTTGGGAGAGGAGGGAAAATGCTTTTACGCAAACAGGTAGCCAGCCTGTAGTGTGAGACTCCTGAATTCATCACAGACTACTCACTAAAAAACCCCCTCTTCTCTGTTGGACACAAACCAGGTCAACATGTGACCTACACCGCACCCCGGTCAAGGTCGAGCTTCTTGGCGCGGAGAATACCCTGGATGTAATGTGACACACGGGTCCAATTGTCCTCACCCTTCATTATCATCGGTATGACCGTGTCCACCGATAGCAGTCCTACTAACTGTTGAGCTTCCAGGCAGGGCCTTTCCCAACGCTGGCAGTAGAAAAAAGTATGTTCCACGTCATCAGGAATGCCTGGGCAGTATATGCAATCAGGTGACACGGCTTTGCCCATCCTGAACAGGTACGACCGGAAAAGCTGTGAAAAAAAGCTCTCCTGCCACAGCTGGTAGGTGTGGGTGTGTTCCTCTGTTCGTGCCTGGCACTCCCCAGTCCCAACAGTGCTAATAAATTGCCTTTCTCTCCGCCGCCAAAAGTTTGATGGGGATGACTCCAGCAACCACCAGGACGGCGGGTTCAGACACTGTTCAGTAGGCGGATGCTACTCTTAGTGCTGCCTGACGCTGCACTCTGACACATTCTGCCCACACCTCCGCACCGTACAAGAGTACGAACTGGACAGAAGACATTAACAGCCTTCTACGACTGGACCGAGGCCCTTCGACATTGGCTATCAACCGGCTAAGAGAGGAAACCACCCTAGCGGCCTTGTCCACGAAAAATTTGGTCCCGCCAGCTCAGTTTGCTGTCAACCATAACCCCAAGGTACTTGCGATGCGGACTGCGAAGTTAATACCATGTTACCATCCGAAAGCTAGTCAGTTTAGTACTGCAGCTGACACAAAATTATTGTGCCAGTTCCAGTATCAAGACAAATTTTGCAATGTGGAGCAATATGGAGTCAGGCAACCGGACTGTGTTTTGCCCGCACGAAAATACCGTACAATAATGGTATTACCGTAGCTTACCAGTCTCGGCATAGAGTCAGGCAACCAGCCTGCGTCTCACCGGCATGAAAATATCGTGCAAATAATGCTAACTTGCTACCGTAGCCGTAAGGTTGAGGTCAATTCCATGTACGTAAACTAGTTAAAATACCTCCAATAAAAAGACCGTTCAGACATTTTTTGTAATAAAAAATATATAAAAGAACACTTAAATCTGTGCATTAGTTTTACACGTTCACTGCGCTACGAGATCCCGAGGTCTCGTATCGTACCTAGCCCGTCGTGCGGGACACATAATTTGGCTTATTTCCCTAAGTTACAACATCGATATTTCGGTGTACAGTTATCGTATAGAAGTGAAACTTCTTCTGTTGTTTACCATTTGTTCAAATTTTATATATGTATATATATAGATTATATTGGCGGCATGCGGATGCCGATAAGGTAAACCGCATTTAAGTAGCTGCCGGTACAGCCGCCATATGCACGCTGCTTGTTACATCAACTCAAGACATGTGTACAGATGAATTCCCAAAGTTTGAGGTGGCAGCCAAATGACATATTTTTGATAGGAGTAAAAATTTTGTTCACCACTTTGCCATAAGGTTTGCTGAGGCTTTGAAAATATACACCAAGAGTATGTTTGAATCAGAACAGGGTGTCTACCAGTAAGCTATTTGAAAAATCGAGGACATTTGGGGGCCCTATCTACAAAAATCAGTAACATCGAACTAAGTAAATTCCTGCGAGTTAATTTTATATTTGCTGTTGAAGTAAAAAAATTTATAGTAAGTCACAAACAAGGCCTAATATAAATTCAGGATCTTAATGTTAAATATATAACTCAATTTTCAAACGCCAGAAAACAATCATCTCTAGAAAACAATCAATTCTCTAGAAGTGGCAAACTGATCGTAGATGTACCCTATAAGTAAAAGGAGTGAAGAGAACAATAAATAAATGTTAAACAATAAACTTGATTAAACATTGAATAAACATGATAAACTCGATGTTGATCAATCGTGGAACTTATAATCATTAGCTCCTACCATAGATAAAACACACTCATGTTTTATCTATGCTCCTACTCATGAAGTGCTCATCTAGAGTCACAAAGTACAAAGTGTACTGATTTACCATTGAAATCCCCAATTATTTTTAAAAATTACAATTGGATAAAATCAGCAAAAAAATCCGCTCATAACCTCAATCCGTGCAAAAATCCGCGCAAGCCCTGAAAATCCGCCCAAAAAGCGTAATTACGCGCAAAACGGCAACACTGTTTGAACCTTCAAACAAAACAAACCTTCAACACAGTGTCTCCACTACAAACGCACAAAATACAAAACAACTATTCCACTTACAGGGTCGAGAAAATTCCCCCTTCTATTCTGCTTTACTGTAATTAAAAATCCCGTTTAGTCCCGCATGATTTTTATTTACGTTCTGACCAGGGTGAATACTGATCAGTAATTTGTAACATGTCTAAATATCTCCTAAAACCTTTCAACAATGCTCTGGTAGAATATTTTAAGTAATTGGTGTTAGTTTTTATATGGAAAGCGGTATAAAAAGAAGTAATTATTGTAAGAGCCGATAGTCTCGATTTATCCCGCATCTCGTTTTAATCCCGCACATGGTCTATTCGATAAAACGAAGAATCACGCCTAAATAAAGTTATATCTCACGGTTTTCTGACACAAAAATAGGTGTGATAAGTAATTAAGTTGATCAAGAAATTATAGTTTTACAGTTAAATAAACTTGTTCGCTGCGTTGTATGTTTTCTTGCATTATTCCAATGGTTCCTTACGAGACCCCGAGATTACATTGCGCAGTAATCTTTTGCGCCTCGTAACCTCGCAAAGAAAGGAGAGAGCGTGCTGAGTGTTTGTTTATATAAACCAGAACAATGTTGACAATCTTCAGCCAGCCCAGGAAGTGAATATGACGTACCGCACAGCTGTAATAGTTCATTATTTATTTGTATTTATTGTTCTCCTACAATAACAAATAAAAGTATGTGTTATCTGTTTATTTACGAATATATAACAATCGTAACCATCGTAAAATGTACATTTTGTTATCTTTCTATTATAGCTTTTTATTTTAGGATGCATTTCCTTATGGCTGATTTCAGACTAAATAAAATACAAACAAAATATGTTTACAAAATACTGTGTTTAGTTTATTTTGTTATAATTCTGGGGTTGGGCAATGACCTCGAAATGAGCGCGAGCCCCCGTCTGTCGAGTGGGTGGGGGGAAAGGGTGGCTGTATAACCTTGAAGCTATATTTAGACTTCCTGAATTCCTAAATTTAGCTCAATTCCTTGTTCGGTTTGACAATTATTTATTATTGATTTAGTAAGAACCATAGGAGGTATATTCAAATTAATAACACGATTTTCTTTTTACATAAAATACAACATTGCACAATCGTGATATTTTAGGTCATTGACCAATGATCTTTATTATACGCATCCGTTACTGCTGTTTCAGAAGGGAAACACGTCAATAATTAAAAATAATTTATGTTAGCGTTGTTGAAAACAATTATTATGTATAATGTGTAATAAATAAAGTAAAAGTCCATTACTTCAGTGCGTTACGAGATCTATTTATCTCATTCATTTCATGTTTACTAGTTGATGGATAGTACTACAATCCGCAGTACTATCCTGATAATTAGACCAATTTGTATATACCAAGGCAAAAATGAGGTTCGGATTCCACTATAGACTGCAGGTCCCTTAGTTGCCATTAGCTGTATGGGCTATAAATTAACAGCTGTGTCTAAGGAAGATGTCGTTCTTAGTCACTAACAAGACTACAAGATCGCGCCGCTCATCCTACACTCATCTCCATTCATAATTGGCTTAAAATACCTACCTGTATGTTTACTGTTGTATGTACCTGCATGTAAATACCTGTGTGTTTGCCATTTCATTGATAAGTATTAAAGTATTTAGTGGAACCTCATTAAGAAGATCCTCTATATCAAGTGGCGCTTGACATGGGCGGATCCAAGATTTAATTTGGAGGGGGGGGGGTCGTCTGGGGGGTATTCCCTGAGGATTTTCTGTAATTTTAGTCCATGAAACCACCATTTTGAGCACATTTTAATGTATTTAATAGCCAAAAATTCATATAACGATGGTGGTTTCTCTGATTTTTAACTATTTATATACTTTTTATTTTACATATTTTACTTAATATTTTTTACAATTAAATTATTTTTTTACCTGGACAAGTTAAAAAAGTTTCTGACATAACGACTTATAAAGCTTTTTTAAAAAGGGGTGAATAGGGCCATAATTAATTGTCGTTTTGCATGGCTTCTGGGGGGGGGGGGGACATGTGCATACTTGCCCCCCCTCTGGGTTCGCTCCTGGCGCTTGATATAACAACAAGTCTCCTTTTTAAATACCCTTGATTTTATATTCACCATTTACTGTACTATGTTATTGTAAACCACAATAAGGAGTCAACCTTATTAGCTGAGACCTGTTATCAAGGTTCTACTGTATGCTAATGCTATAAACAAAGTATAGGCTTACTCTAATAATAGAAATCTCATTGCAGGGGTTGTTGGATAAGAACTAAGGCTGGGCGACACAAGAAATTGTTCAAAAAGAGTGCCAATCGTAGACGTCGCCTTCAATATCATGTATTCTGCAATGGACAACAAAGTCATCTTCTAGATAAAATGGTGACCAGATATTGGAGAAAGCCGAGATTCTATGTTGATGATCCTTACGAACCTTACCACTCAAGAGAGGAATACTGCCATTCTAGGAGGAAGCCATACCAACCTTTTGCCTAGGATTTTTCCAAATAAAGCTATGTAGTTAAACAGATATATAACTGTTGTCATTTAACTCGCTTGACTTTCCTGTTTATTTCTAAGAATCTAGGGAAAAAGGTGTCTGCATATCTTATTACATAATGGATTGATATAGGTTTTGTCTAAATGTTGGAGTGCGGTACTTAATTAGACAACTAACACCTGTTTCAACTTTTATGAAACATTTCTTTTTCCTATTTTAAACCTCATGTTATTCAAAAAGGGAATATATTTTACAATATTTTAGGAAATGTTTGGGTGAAAATGCAATTAGACATATGGATATTTACCATCTGCAGGGGATTGCGAGGTGGGCCATTAAGTATTACTATAAAAACCAATTATGTGACACGGAGGTCGTGTATGTATACAATAACTATCAGTGATGGAAAAGGAATTCCTTATAATTTTGTTCTTTAATTTAATTTTCATCTCAAGATTTTATGGGTTAAATGTGTTTGATTGCTTTTCTTGGACTGTCATTGCTTTCCCTCCAGACAATGAACCAATGACAATGGTTTTGGCAAATGCTAACAAATAAAGCAGCAAAAAATACCGTATCCTCTGGGTTTTAGTTACAAGGTATTAATGAATTATACTTAGCTTTTGTTTAAAATGGTACTTTGAGGACTCTTGTTAAAATGCCTTGATGATGTGGAGCCAGCAATCTCTCTATGGAATTTGGGCAGCATCATTTATTATCATACTTTCTCCCCCTACTATATGCAGAAAGATTTGTTTTCGTCAACATTTTTAAGTTTGAGTGTTGAGTGATATATGTGTCCGTGATGGGTCCCCCTGAACCCAAAAAAGTGGTTTTCAAAGTGATATCTGTGTGACTGTGTCTGCACTGCATGTCTGTGTGTGGATGTGTACAGAGCTACAGACCTCACCTGTGGTCCGATTTTGATTTAATTCGGTATGTATGTACAAACTCATGGTAACTCCAAATGTTTTTTTTTCATTTTTAAAAATGTTTATTTAATAATAATAAAAAGTCGGATTTTCAAAAAACAACTTTACCAATTTTGATTAAAATTTGGTAGTTTTAGTCCTTTTAACTCTAAAAACAACAGTGTTTAACACCCATGCTGTAAACATTATGGGTCAAGTCAAAATTTATTGCAGCTTTTGTGATTTTCTCCATAAAATATCTTAGGTACTATCATACTGCGTACCCATCATGAGGGTTGTTGACAATAAAAGTTACTAGCGTCTAGACTGCCAGTGCAAGTCCCAGGAACGGCCGATCGGAGGATCGTGGATCAGATCATACCGGCGCATCAGCATAGCTTATCTAACTGTTCGCGGAAAATTGTTATCTGTATCACTGTCGCTGTCAAAACGTATAATTTGTAGATTAAATTTGAATTAAATATAATTAAACTATCATAACCTAACCAAACTAACCAAACTTGCTGATAATGATAAACTCGAATGAAGGTTTACTAATCGAAAAATAGCTCTGTTCTAAAAATAATATTATAAATGTCTCAAATTCAATTTTACAATCTTTTAATTATAAAATTAAACTGTCATAACCTAACCAAACCAACCAAACTTGCTGATATGAAAAAATTGTTGACAAAAAGTTAGTGCTCCCAGTGGGATTCGAACCCGGCACCATCAGATTATCAGCCCGACACGCTATCCACTACACCACAAAGGCTCATGACCCAGTTCAGTATCGTTGCAGTAATGGTTGACGTCACGCCATCGGCACTGAGCGGTGGTGGGGGGTTTTTCGATCTGATCCACGATCCTACCGATCGGCCGTTCCTAGGAGTTGCACTGGCAGTCTAGATGCTTATATAAAAGTTTGTGAAGAGAATGTTTGTGTGTGAGAAGGCTGACCATAAGAGAATAAGAATAATTTATTATTGCCATTGACCATGTACAAAATGAAATAGGCATTGTCAAGTTGCATATGAATTAAAAAACAAGCATAAATCCATTATATACATACATAAAAACAAGAGTCATTAAGTTCTAGAGGGTTGGTGGTTCTAAGATATAATCTTATATATTAAAAAAAATTTGGGTTTTCTTTTCCGAGTTCGTTTGGCTCTTTACCCGACCGATTTTCATGATTGAGGTCTCAAATTGAAGGTATGCACACACAGATTTGCCATCAAGCACTGGCATATATTTATCTATAATCCCACTCTGCTTATATGTAAACGAAATTTGCTCCCCATGTATTTCTTATGGGAGTTAAATTTGGTTTCTCTTTCGTTTGGCTCTTTTACCCGACCGATTTTCATGATTGAGATCTCAAATTGAAGGTATGCACGCACAGATTTGCCATCAAGCATCGTCATATATTTATCTATAATCCCACTCGGCTTATACGTAAACAAAATTTGCTCCCCATGTATTTCTTTTGGGAGTTAATTTTTTTTCCAAGTTTTTTTGGCTCTTCTACCTGACCGATTTTCATGATTGAGGTATCAAGTTATAGGTATGCACGCACAGATTTGCCATCAAGCATCGGCATGTATTTACCTATTGTATTTCTTGGCCGAAAAACATAATTTGATTCATTTTCAAATTCTGACTTCAATTTAAGATGTATTTCAACAGTTGTATAATTATACTAGCTGTACCCACGGGCTTTGCCCCGTTTAACTTCATAAGTATTCGCATGGTTCAATCACGTCCCGGTTGAAGTTCGTTCGCTACGCTCACTCACCTTTAGGTTGGAGCTCGTTCGCTGCGCTCACTTGTTTTCAGGTTAGCTCGTTCGCTACGCTAACTCGCCTCCAGGTTGATGTTCGTTCGCTACGCTCACTCACCTTTTGGTTGCAAATTAGCTGTTGTCATAAATTTTAAAAGGTCATCCCTTTTATTGTTTATAATACTTTGATAAAGGTTTTTATGTTTTAATATTTAACGTTGGAGAATTTAAACGTTGTTAAGTGCACAGGTATGCTGCGATTGGGGTTTAATACATTTGGACTTATTCAAAAGTAAAATAGTTTTCTGTGCTGCACTCTGTAGAAACACTGTGGCACTATTTAAAATCATCACTAATGCTAATACCAAGGCACGCAACACAAACAACCTAACAGGCCGTAATGCTTGTCAAGCATGACGTCACGATAGAAGACGGCAATGACGTAATTAAGGTTATATTTTTGTTTTCCATGAAAAGATTAAAACAAGCAGCTGATCACAAACGGCAAAAATACGTCATTGCCGTCTTCTATCGTGACGTCATGCTAGACGAGCATTACGGCCTGTTTTTTTAGTGTGGCCTTGCTAATACAGAATGTTGTACTATAATTATTCAAACCTACAAAACAGTTGGTGAAAGTAAACATCTGCTTTTAAATTATATTTATTTGTAAACATTGTAGATCAAAAAGTCTGACATTGGTCCACTTAAAACCCTCTGGGGCAGAGCCCTTTTGACGGATCTGCACCAAACTTCACTCGAACCATCCTTGAAAGATGCTTAATAATGCCTGAAAGTTTCATTACAATCTGTTTGAGCGGTTTCGGAGTCCATAACGTTTATACACGCACACATACATACATACATAGTTCCTCTTTTATAGATATAGATAATCCTATGTATTTTGGTCTAAGAACCTCCAGAGAAATGCCTGCTTTCATTTAAGCTATTAGTTTTTCAAATTGGACGAGTTTCAAGCAAACGCAAGGTAAAAACAAACATTAAAATTATTTTTCATAAGGTATTTCTATGATTAACAACAAATAGCTCCATTATTGTTCAGGGTTTTTACACGTTTTAGACTTAAATTAATCAGTAAATTATAGGCTTTAATTTGAGCTATTGGTCGTTTGAATCAGATAAGCTCAAGATACTGTTTTACTCAATCAAAAATCATGAATTTGATTATATCTCAGATATTATATTTATTTTATCGCTGCGGAGCAGCATGGGTCCTCTATTGAAATTAAAAAGTAAGACTAGTTTGAATAAGTAGTTGGCAAGTCAAAGTCTGGGACCGTGGCGTCGTCCTTAATCCAGCTACTTGGACTTGGAGGTCACAGATAGTGGATATTTTTAGGCATGATCTGTGGATGTGATACTCCGTGGTGTGGATTAACGCCCACACTAGTGAGTACTAAGACTATACGCATTAGGCCTACTATCCTGATAATTAGACCAATTTGAAAATTACAGTACAAGGGAAAGTGTGGTTCGGATTCCACTATAAACTGTAGGTCCCTTAATTTGCCATTGACTGTGTGGGCTATTAATTAACAGTCCTGTCCAAGGAACATGTCATCCTTAAACAGTAACAAGACTACAAGATCGCACCACTCATCTCCATTTATAATTGAATTAAATACCTACCTTTGTATGGTTGCCATTTATTGCTATTACAAAATTATTAAAGTGATAAAAAAAAGTATTATAGTCTTCCATAACCAGATGCCAGAATATGGGCATATGGCAGACCAGGGCCATTGAGGACACAATAAGAATAAAAAATACCCCCGATTCAGCAAACCCGCAGACTGAGCGAATTTCCATTTGCCTGATTGGATTTTCCCTAAAATGTTTCCTTAAGGTACTAAGAGCCACCTGTTCTATATTCAATGGCTTTATTATAATTTTATTTAGGTTTAAATAGCTTTGTGCTTATTCTCTTCAAATTGTCAAATACCACATAATAATAATATAGTATAATATAGCCTACATTTATTTTTTAGAAATAATCCAAAAACCATTTACTAGTCCAGTAAATCTGTCAGAAAATATGGGGTTGCTGTGCAAAAGGTCGGGTAGTTCTGATTTTTGGATATGTTGTTAGTATTGGGCCCATAACATAAAATCCAAGTTATCCACCTCGAGATACTGCCGCTCGCCGCGGGGCGCGCCACTTGTTACCAAAATATCAAAAATATGGCAATTCCTATTGTTTTTCACTCAATTTCGCGAACCGTTGATTTTACCGAAAATTTTATACTATTACATTAAAGAAGAATAAATTTGTGACAGTTTAAGCCCAACAGCAAGTATGTAGCGTAAATAATG